TCAGTCAGAGTACCCTCATTCCCAAATCTCTGTAGGCACATCACTTGCTATTTCTGACTGCTTCATTTTCCACACACAAAAAATTAGGAGTACTTAGGTTTCTTTCTCTACTTTGAACCTCTTTTAAGAGAGAAAAAGTGGGATATAAATAAATACTTTATCAATGCAAGCAGTTCTCTTTTTGTAGTATGGAACACATGATTATTGTTTGCCTTTCAGTTGTTGATGATCTATGGCTTTTAAGAACTATTTATTTTAAATCCTCCCTGAAAAAGACTGCAATTGTGAGTAATATTCTTCAGCAAGGAATGCCACGTAGAACATGAAGTGGGCTTGTTTTCTGCTGCTCCAGAGCCAATGGATTCAAATGACAATAAATGAGATTCTATCTAAACATTAGGAAGTACTTAACGTAAGAGCAATTCAACAGTGAAATAAATTGTTTCAGTCAGTGGTGGAATCTATCTTTGGAGATCTTAAAACAGAGGTTGGATGCCATCTCCTTTGAGGAGAGGATTGTCCTTTGTAAATTAGGATACTTGAACACTGCAGTGAACCCCAATCACAATGTCGGGTCTCAGCAGCATCAACCTTGGACCTCATTGCATTTAAACTGTAAAATGCTTAATCAGTATGCATCCCATAGGATGCCCCCCAATCCCATGAATTTCTTACTGTTTACAGTAATCCGATTTGAATCATCACACCATGGAAGCTTTGCTCCTCCCAATTCATTGTAATATCTCCATACATCACAGATCATGTAGAACATTTTTCTGCGCAGTAGAGAGTCACTATCGCAGTCATTTGGCACAAACCGGAAAATAGTGATTACTATCATGCTGTACAAAGGTGTATTTTACTGTCAAATTCTTTTGAAAATACTTTTTAAATAAGGATTGAAGATTTCAAAGTAGTTGCTACTGTCCTCATGAAGTTAGAGACAAATGGTGACAGAGCCCTTCATGACAAATCCTAGGGTCCTCAAGGATATCCCACAGACACCCCCCCCCAAAAAAAAGAGATGTCACAACACAGAGGACAAAATGCTTACTGTTTTGCGGATCACACATAAAAGCAGCACATTTCATATGATTTATATTTAAAAACACAATATGAATCCCATATCCAAATGATCTGTTTCTGCCACCTTTTGCACATGGTTTTCAACGGGTTGATGACATCAGGGAACAAACATCATTTTATAGGACCAGTCGAGATGCGTATGCAAACGAGGTCAGAAACAGACTATTGCTTAATGTGGTCAGGTCCTTTGGCAAGCACCACGTGAGGCATGAGTTTCTGGTCAGTGTTACATTGGTGTAATATAAATTTATGTGGACTTGTATCTCAGTCCTATGGTACCATTGGCACAATAAATCTACTAATCTTTAAGATATTGTGAAATCATCTTTTGTTTTTACAAAAAAATCTTCTGGAAGTTATTAAAATCAATATACAATGAACTCGTTGAATTTAGTGAGGTAATGCATTCAAGCTTCACTTTTTCTCTCATTCCCCGGGAGATTCCGACCCCATATTATCTAAAACCTGTTGTCAGGGAGGAAATATTTTTAATTTTTCTCCAATCTTAACACACACAAACACACACACACGTTGCCCTTCAATACTTTTCCTGGAAACAAATTTAAGGTGACATAAAAACGGCTCATGGGAATAGAATAAAGATGGGATGCGTTTTGCAAAGACCTGTCAGGGGTCACAGCTACCCTGACCATATGATGTAGTTTCGAACTGCATTATAAGGCACTGTCTATAGGGACAGGTAGAGACAATATGATGTAGTGGAGCTGCCTCTGAAGAGTGCTTGGAAACTCCAGCTGGTTCAAAGAACTGCAGCCAGATTGCTAACTGGGTCTGGTTACAGGGAGCGAAAACCCACCCCCAACCCAGTTTTAGAAGCTTCACTGGCTGCCAGTCTGTTTCCGGAAACAATTCAAAGTGCTGGTTATGACTTTTAAAACCCTAGACTATTAAGGTCCAGACGATTTGGCTCACTGCATGCTTTTGTACAAACCTGTCTGGGCCCTGAGATCTTCAGGAGAGGCCCTTCTCTTGGTCCCACCTCCATCTCGAGCTTGGTTGGTGGGAACAAGAGAGCAGGCCTTCCTTCTTGGTGGCTGCTCCTCAATTCTGGAACGGCCAGAATAGTCTCCTCCCTGCTGTCATTCTGGCAACAGGTTAAAAACTTTTTCTTTAGCAGGCATTGAAATATGAAGGTGTTTAAGATCTAGTCAGGGGTTGCTGTGGTTTTCAGCTTTGAATATGTTTTAATGGATCTAACTGCGATTTTTAAAAATACTACAGACTCTTCAGTTCAACTGACTGACTTCACAAGCAGAAAATTTATGTTTAGTTTTAGATTCATTCTGATGTACAGAGCATCAACATTATACTTGTAAATTAGTACTTGTTTATCCAATATAAGTTTATATTTCATACCTGTTTATTGATTATTGACCTATACATACTATTGTATTTGTAAGTACATTTTTTCACAGCTTTAGAGAAAGGCAACAGCGCATCCGCCTCTGAATAAATCTTTCCATTATAGGTCTCCATAAGGTTGAAATAAGTCAAAAACAAGTTGAACAAACACAATAACACAACAAACAGCTTAAGAAATTCCTTTTGAGGACTATATTTCCCAAAATCCTTCAGCCAGTCCAAACCAGTGGATTCTGGAAGTTATAGAACAAAAGTGTGACTTTATCAAAAAATCTAGAAGTGAAGGTAAAACAATGACAATATAAAGGAAGTGACAATGCAAGACAGAAACTAGAGGATGGAGGGATTTTCAAGGCAGCATTTGAACTTTGCATCTTAAGTTGCTCCCCGGTGTGACTCTCTGAGACACAGTGGGAAGCACAGTAAATGAATAAATAAATTAGAGCTGAGACTATTTAAAAAACAAAAACAAGCCCACTTCCTTTTTTTTTTTTTACTATTTATTGGCAGAAATCCATTTAAAATGTTGCTTTCACCTGACATTACTATTTGCCCCTTGTTTAACCTTAATATGTTCATGGGAGGGGGGGTGTCCCACAATTTTTTTTAATTAGCAAAAGAACTAAAAATGCCAATGGAAACATAAGGCCCTCTGTGCAGATTATGGACACTTCCTGGAACCCATTGGCAGCAGTACCAAAGTGCAGCACATCAATCTAAGGTTTTTCAGGTAGTCCAGCTAAAGAGAAGCTCTAGAGGACACTTCTCATTGCTGTGAGTGGTGAAGGAGTTCTTCTTGTATGGTAGTTCTTTTCTACATTTTTTAGATGGGGATAAAACACCTAAATGCAGAAGACTTTTAGTGCATACCTTATCGCAGTGGTTCTCAACCTGGGGTCTCCCAATGTTTTTGGCCTACAACTCCCAGAAATCCCAGCCAGTTTACCAGCTGTTAGGATTTCTGGGAGTTGAAGGCCAAAAACATCTGCGGACCCCAGGTTGAGAACCACCGCCTTACCATGTCCCAAGAAAATATTCATTCCTCCAAGCTCTTAACCTCAATATGAATCCACAGGAGCTTGTAAGATCTCAACAGGGCTGTTGAAAGCAGGGTGACTTGGAGATCTCTCATTCATAGGATCACAATACATCGCCGTTGACTTGACAGCAATTAACAACAATAAGAACAATATTTCCTGGATTTGGGAAATAGAAACTAATGTATTTTCCTATTCAAGGACACAAATGTCTTCACATTTCAAATACACAAATGGTAGAAGCAAGAAAGGAACAAGAAAATATGAGACAGTAAATATTTATGGTTAGCATAAGATCTGACTTTAATTTACACTTCCATGCGGCAAGTGAACATCACCATGTTAAAAGAACCACATACACAAACCCACATTGAATGTTCAGGAAACGACAGTGTAATCTAGCCCCCAAAGAGTATATGTCCTTAAAATGAACTTCTTTGCCATTGCTCTTTAAAAGCAAGTCTTTCACTTTATAAATATTGGGAATTAAGAATAATTCATGAAACATACTGCAGTGTAGATATAGTATGTGTTTATAATTTTTTTAAAACAAAATTACAAAACCAGCCAGGGCCAATTTTTAAGAAGCTCTTTTAAAAGGCACTGCAATATTTATGAATCTTTGGGATTTCTTTTTTTTTCCTTTTTTTTTACAAGAAAGTCAAGTTTATGTAATGTGCAGGAAAGCTACTCTTATGAGAACCTGCATATGCAAATGCAAAACGTTATGCCACTCCCTCCAAAAGAGATTATATTCCCAAAGTAAGAGTTAGGAAAGGAAAAAATAAAGACATGCGATTAGTTGAATGACAACATGTGGTTCTTAAAATTGGCAAGAACAAATTAGACTTAGATCAAAATTCTTGAGCACCTATCACAGCAATATACCAAAAAGAGACAGAATGCAGGCTTAATTAATGCTTTCTAATTTGCCAAACAAGACCCCTTCTGAGAGAAAAATCATGATTTCACATTAAAATTTACTGTAAAATAGATATTAAGCTGTAAGGATTTAAAAGCTTTCATTGTGGGAAGATGATATGGTTTGGTTGTAATAGTCTGTAGTAGATTTCTGAAATTTATTCTCAAACATCTGATTTGAAAACTGACTAAATGCAATGCTGGAGAAGAGAAATAGGAATAGTCTTATCATTTTCATTAATGGAAGTTCTGGATACCATAGTTTAAGAAGGACATTGACCATTTAGAGCAAACCTGGTGAGCTAGGAAATAAAGTCCTCTAGGGCCCCATTGATGTACCCAAGCCAATCTGTTTTTCCTCAAGGTAAACTGTTTAATCCAGCTTGATCTCAGGTTAAAAAATACTAGGAAAGGTGTGAATATTTCTGGAAGATTCACACCTTTTCCAATTTGGGGTTGTGAGGACTGCCAGTTCAGATCCCCATTTGGAATCCAAATGTGCCATCCCACACTCAACAGGCTCAGGCAAGAGGCTGTCCGCTTGCTATATTGCTTCATCTTTCAAAGCGCCATTATATAATCACTGAGAGCAATCCAGCAAGAGAACAGCCTTCTGCAAAGGGAGCAGGGAGGTTTGGAAGGCTGTGCCCATACTCAGCTCTCCTGATACAGTGTTGGCACTGCTGGGCTGTATGACTGTTCCCTTGCCAATGAGGTAGGATATAGCCCCACCTCATTTGGGGCTCAAAATGGACATTTTTGTGCTAATTTTAGCCACATTACATGCCAGTGTGGAAGAGCCTTTTAAAAGGTCCTATTAATTTTGTTGAAAAGGTTGGGCAAATTCAGCTTGGTAAAGGAAAATATGATGGCCCACTTCAAACTGCTGTAAAGATGCCATGCATCAACTTGAAAATATTCACACCTAGCCCAACTGACAAAAGTCCTTTGCCTCACCCTGGTCATTCCACAGATATATAAACCCCTTTCCCAGTTCCAACAGACCTCACCTCTGAGGATGCTTGCCATAGATGCAGGCGAAACATCAGGAGAAACGCCTCTAGAACATGGCCATATAGCCTGAAAAAACCCACAAGAACTTAGTTTCCCAGCTGTTTGGATTTCTGGGAGATGAAGGCCAAAAACCATCTGGGGACCTACAGGTTGAGAACCACCGCTCCAGAAGGCAGTGGGTGGAAATCATGGGGATGCAGATTATCAGGTAAGCATAATGAGAAACACCCTAACAGTGAGAACCCTTTGTTGGTGAACAGAACCCCTTGGTAGGCAATGGGTTCTCCTCCCCTGAAAGTGACCAGGGAGCATTGGGCAACCATATATCAGGGATGGTACAGCAGCATCAACCATTGGTCAAGCCTGATTTGAATTACATGATCTGTGAGGTTTCTTCCAACTCTAGGAATAAAGTGATATCTAAGAAAATGAAATCCACTTTGATTGTCAAATGGGATTTTTGAGAGAGTAGTCAGTTTTCAGATCTACGATCTCAGATAATAAGATTGGCCATAGGTTTTAATGCAGTTGAAATCATGAAATCACACCTAATTGTCATTCCCATAATTCCTCATTTAACAGTTTGATGTTGCATGTAAGAATGTCTGAATATGAAGGCACTAATCAGCTGGTACAGGCACACCTCATTATTATACATCCCCCAATGCTGTACAATTAGAGCACTATTGTCTCTAAAAGATGCTACTTCACTGAAATTTAACAGGCAGCACTTTCATACAGGAGGTCAATTTCAAGATATTGTCTTTAAAAATGCAACCTTTTCAAAATGGCATGTTTAATTTGCAATAATACTACAATTCCCCAGTCGCAATTAAGGCTGACATCCTCAAAGCTTCTTATTGAGAAGAAAGTGCTGCCAAAGTTAATCGATCACACTTCCAAGTAAAGGTTGTTAAGAACCGTAAGGTCTTAAACCAGTTTTCCATGTTAGTCATTTGTTTCATGACAAATGGGAAATTTAATTCTGCAATTACAAATGTTACTTTTTTTTCTAGCAAAAATATGATGTGCATATGTATAAAACCGCATAAGAATGCATTGAATCAAAATATACAACTGCAATGTAAACCAGAGACAACTGTCATTCCAAAGAGCAACAATTAAGGTTTTCAGCTGGAAAATAATATATTTTATGAGGCATTATTTGTAATTTGGCAGCCTCGTAAATCCCACTCCTGTAATTCTTTTTCTAGCAGATTTCTTTGCTTTTTAAAAAAACAAGACTTCATCACTCCCTTGAAAAATATAGTTTCTTCTATCTGAAATATATTGCTCATGCATAAGCATGGTATAGATCGCCAAGCCAAGAGAAAACTAACTCGGTTACTTAATACATGAAACTTCAGGTTCTTCCTGTATTATGTGAAATGGCTTGAAACAGGAGGCAGCTGCCAAGGAATATCACTGCTTCTTTGCTCGAGAGAGACAAGGGAAGGGAGAAGGAAGGGGGGAAATTCCCCCGATGGATACCACAATAGCATGTCTTTCATTATCGCCCTGTGTCAAGGCACTGTGTAATATTCATTGTGCATGCATAGTAAATTCCTATTTACCTGGCAGTTCCTTTGATAAGTCAGTCTTTTCTCCCTTTTTTCCGTCCACACAGCATGGAACAGGGAATCTTTCTTTTTTTCCCTCTTTTTGCCTATAATTCTTATTAAGGTGATACCTTTTCTGAATAAGAAAGCACACACATCCAAAGGAGGCATTCTCTGGGGTTTTTAAGGGCCATTGTTTTTATTGTTTCCCTTTTATTCCTCCCACCCTGCTGCGTTTTAATGCTATAGTGACTCTCTGTGTATACAGCTCTCATATTGAAATGTCTGCTGCAGATATATGCAATATTAAAGAGTGCTTATGAATTTTTGACATCTAATTAGTCGCTACCCAGTTAACATGTCAAGACTCAGAGGGATTAGGGAGTCAGCCCTTTCTGAATAAGTTAAAGCTATGCCCTGTCCTTTTCATGTATTATTCTTTAATGTAGGTGGTGATTATTTTGCTGTGATTAATTGATGAAGCTCATTGGTCTGGCAAGTGTTACAGAATTCACCATTCCTCACTTTTATTTCTCTCTGTAGGGCTCTCCTCCTCATTTGAAAGAAATTGCGTCTATTCCGGTATGTGAAGCTTCTTTTCCTTTCGCTGATAGTGTTGCATTTTGCTTTTCCTTTCAAGATGTTATCAACTTAATATTCTGTCTTTGGGGGCTGTTGAAGAAGTTAATTATTTTTTTAAAAAAAAGAAGAAAAGAAAGGAAAGGAAAGGAAAAATCAACAAAAAAAGTGGGTTTCAGAAGCCTGTGTTTTGTTTAATTTTCCCCTATCGTCTGCCTACTCTCTATAATCATTGCTTATTTTTGAGGCAAAATTACTGTCTCTTCCCTTTAAAAAGTGAAAACATAGTTGCTGTTTAGCAAAGCCTCTCTACCCATGAATTTTGCATGGTTTTAAGACATTCAGATTGGAAAAACTCCTCCCACCCAACACACATTAAAAATCTTTTATTTTCCTAATGTTTCTTTTTTTTGGTTTTTATCGTATTTTGCATTCTCTTTTCACATCTCAGCAGAAAACCAAATGTTAGACAAACAATTTCTAGTTTTCCCAGATATTCAACTTTGTAGTGTTTTACTCCTTTCTTTTACCACCCTTTCCCCCATTAAAACACCTTTAGAAAAGAAAGATGCACATTTCAAACAATGCAATTATTTATAAATGCAGCAATATGTCTAGCCTTATGTTCCATGCCAAAAAAGTTCAACTGAGCCACAGTCTAGCTGTGACTATTCCCCACAAAGGGGCAGACTCAGAGAAATCCAGTATATTTAATAGATCTCTTTTCTAAATTTTACCTATGCAGGGATTATATGAAACCATTTTGGTTGATTATAGTATAGTAAATGGTTGATTATAGTCAACCATTTGTGTGCGTGTTTACAAGGGACATTCCATGCTAGATCACAATATACTATGCCATCCCATTGCTGGTAGTTAAATGTGTTCTGTGTGATGAATATGACTATGCTATGAATAGGAATGGGAACACCCCAATTCAATTTCCTTCTTGTAACATCCTCCATTCAGTACCAGGGTGGGAAGGGGGGGGGATGTGTTTATTGATAAGAGCATATGTTTATGAGTTTCCTGTGGAGGACTTCACAAACTTCACAATGAGACCATTTTTTTTAGTGTGGAATGATGAAACTGAAGAATGTTCAGAAGAAAAGTTGAGAGGCAAATACTGTACACAAAATCAAGCTTTAGGCAACTATTGAATTGTCAGTGGACACGCCATAGAACTTCCCACAGTTTCTCCATCTCTTCAGGGGGAACAAAAGCTTATAGACAACTTTATTTGCTTTCTGGTTGTCAGAACAAGACAGAACGACTTCTCAAAATAATTCTTGATATGGGCCCATTATAAACCTGCACCATTCACATGTGTAAATCGGACAATAAGAACGCTTCAGACCCTTTATCTTGGTGACATGGTACAAACAGCTGAAAACCATCATGGGAAAGAAAAGGTACTTATAGTAAATAATCCTTCACCTGTATTCAAAGAATGGAATTTTAATTATAGCACTATATGCTATTCAAGAGCTGGCTACAATTTTTCTTCCCTTTCATTGCAGATATTTTATTATATTTCAAGCTTTCCCTCCCCTCTCCTGAAAATTGAAGGACACACATATGGGGTGAAGGGATAACAAAAGTAAATGGCAGGGTGTCAACAGTTATATCCCACAATGTTTGAGGGATAAATGTGAAGGTAGAAGTGTTGGAATGTGATTTCCAGAATACTAGATGCAAATTTGTAAAGAGGGTTTGTTGGCAATTGAAGGTAAAGCCTCCTGCTCACCAGTCAGTACCAACCCCTAGGAAATAAATGGGCATGAATCTTGTCATAAAGAGGAAGGAAATGTGATAAACTATGCGAGAAAACAAAATAGTGTACGTAAAACAGGGAAGGGAGGGTTTGCATGGGAGAGATGGGGACATGGAATTAAAAAGAAATATCAATCAGCCGAAGCATATTCTGCTTTCTGCCACACAGTAGATTTCTATCAGGAGAAAACATTGAACTTTGTAGTGTTAGCAGCAGCTGAAATTTAGAATTATTGTTTCCTCGTAACAGAAGACTCATTTTCCACGGCCGCATTTGCAGCATAATAAGCTTTTTGTTATTTTTTCAATTAGAGTCAATTGACCTAACAAAATGGTTGGCAATTAAGTGATTTTTGTAATGGTCCGGGGGTAATTTAGTCGAGCTTGTCAGCTGTGTTTCATGAAGCCGAGATGTCTTTTTTCCCCATTGCCTCTCTCGCTCTCTCATTCTCTCTCCCTCTCCCTCTCAGCCTATGCTTTTCCCTCCTTCTCTCTCTCTCTCCCTCTCCCCCCTCGCATAATGGCTCATAATTTTGAAATCTTTTCCTTCTGTTTCCCTCACAATAATTTGCAATTACAGGAAGTTGTTGGCGGTGATTTTTCCCTCCTCTACCTTGCCTTTTGAGCCAGTAATTTTAAATAAAATGTACAGGAGGGGTAGGGAGGGAGCAAAAGCAAGGGGCTATTAGAGGAAACCCCCTTTTTGTGTAAACTCAATTATTTTATGAATAGTGACACCCGTTTCTGCTGGGTTCAACTTCTCAATGGCTGATCTATTATTGTTTTCAGGCCAAAAGGTTTGGAATTGTCAGAGCACTTTCCTTAAATCAAAATAGCATTCATTATAGAAAACAAAATGATGATGATGTTCCAAAGGAAGGTTAAAGGTATACTAAACTAAGACATATCCCAAGAAGTAGAACACAGAAATCCATTAGGGGTATCAGGTAGATGCTAGTTGTGCCTCTTCATTATGTATTAAAGTTTCTCTTGTTTTGTTGTTTTTTTTAACGACAATGTTATTTTACAAACAGATGAGCATTTCCTATTAAAATTATGCCTTTGACTTTATTATTTTTATTACTCATCTCAAACATGACACAGCATGAAAATATCTAAAGCTCTCTGTCCAATTGACAGCATCCTTTCCTATTCTTTATTAGTGCATTTTGGTCTATATTTCAGATCTATACCTCATCTTTCTCTCTTTATTTTTAAATGAAGTGCCAATCTTTATTAAAAATAACATTGATCATTTCAGTAGGGCAAAAGGTTTCAGAGTACACAATAGCCAGAACTGCAGATGCTACTTGGGCTGATTATAAGTAGCATATAAGTCCATTGTTGGAACAGCTTCACTGGTTGCCAATCATAATTCAAAATGCTGGTGATGAACATGGGTGCATCAAAATCAATGGTTCTCAGCCTGTGGGTCCCCAAGTGTTTTGGCCTACAACTCTCAGAAATCCTAGCCAGTTTACTAGCTGTTTAGGATTTCTGGGAGTTGATGGACAAAACATCAGGGGACCCACAGGTTGAGAACCACTGATCTAAATGAAGTCGTTAATCTGAGGCATTTGTGCCAGATCCAGGATGTACCTGCCAAATTCAGGGCCTTATGCCCAGAAAGTTCAGCATATTCCTTTGCTGGCCTGTCCCCTTGTGGCCACTGCTGTATCTTGCTTGCCAGTAGCCTTTTTTATTGTTGCATCTGTTAAGGTCATACCTCAGGCACCTGTACAATCACATGGCTGGGCAGCAAAGAACAGTGGTGGCTCTAGAACAACCTATCCCTTTACCTGCACTGATCAGAAAGAGGTATGGCAGTAATGTGTGCATGTGGAAAATGGATAAGTCAAAATGGGCCGAATCCAGCTTTCCACATGGGCACAACTTCCAAGGACACTCCAGCATTTCCTCCAATCTCCAGAATATCTTCTGATTTTGCTTACTGTGGAGGATATTTAGGTCAAGGAGTAAAGCCTTCTTGCTAGAAGTCATCATATGTCATTATGACTATGGTCATCATGCTGACTACTAATGCTGGTTTCAGGGTGAGTACTTTTTTAAAAAAAAATCATGTAAACTTATCTATAGAAAATCTCATATGGTTCAGGCCCACATTATGAAGAATCAATGAAAGTAAGTTTCCTTCTTATTTGTAGAGGAAATTAGAAGAACAGACACGACGAGTCAAGGATCCAACTTTATTTAGGGAAGGAAATGCATTTCTGTCTCCCAACCTGACAGACCAGGGTCTGAAGAAATGAGAAACCCTGAACCAAAAGCTCATACACACTAATCATTTGCCAAAATTTCCAAGTCACTATTGTAAAGAACATGTACTAGGAAAATTCAACAAGCTAGAAAATTTGATAGAGGTTTTGACTATAATTTCAAGATCAGTTGGCCATGTACAGTCTTCATTAAGGTAAACAGTAGCTTGGGAATGAAAGTGCAGCTATCACAGAATCCACTTATTATTCAGAAAGTAGACCAAAGCAATACAAAAAGCATCTTGCTGGATTAATGAACATGCATGAAGCCATGTTGATTTCCTGTTCACAATATTTTCCTTCATGAAATTATGCATGTTTTGCAATCCCCTGGGGAAGCCTTTCTGTCTGTCCAACCACCCTCACTTGTACATCTAGTGGGAACACAAGAGAAGCCCCCTCCCTGACTTTGGAATTCCCTTCCCAGAGAGTCTAGATGGCACCCTCCCTATATTTATGCAATCGGTCAAAGACGTATTTTGTTTTGAAAATAAGACCTTTGAAGACTGATTGATTCCAAGGAATGGTCCTTACATAACGAGCTGGAATGTCTACTTTATATATGCTGTATAACTTTATTATGAGTTATGTTTTAGCAGGCTTTAATACTTTGATAGTTTAACTGCTTTTTAGCCATATATATTATGATTTTTTAAGGCATGTTCATTTTAACCTGAGCTACTTGAGTCCCAACCTGAGAAGATGAGATTATTTACAGTAACAACAAACTACCATCATATGTATCCTGTCTTCTTTCTGGCAACCCTACAATAAAGAGCTCCCCTTCTGTTCTGACAGATAGAAGAAATGATTTTGACTCAGCAGAGCTTAATGAAAACCAAATAGTAAGGGCTAATTCCAGATTTCAGGAAGAGAAATATGAAAGTGGTGTGTCAATCCTTGAGAGGTGAATTACTCAAGGGATTTAGAAGGAGGGGAGTTTTGATAAAACAA